TATATATATATATATATATATATATATATATATTACATGAATCATTCATACAAAAAAACAGATATAGAAGTTAATGATTTATGGCGAGAATGAATGATTCATGTAATGTAAATTGAACTGCACCACATATTTGATGCATATATATATATATATATATATATATATATATATATATATATATATACAAACTATACTCGTCTCGAAAAACCTTCGAATTTTTGATTTGCCAATAATCAAATCAATCTCGAAGGAAAAAAGGTTTTTAAAAAAGAAAGAGCTAGAAACATGAAAGTCTAAAAAACGAGAGCCAGCTTTCCCTGACGATCCGCTTAGGTGAAACCTGCGTAGGTTTGTCTGGCTCACTAGGTTTACCTATCTATCTATCTATCTATCTATCTATCTATCTATCTATCTATCTATATATCTATATATATATATATATATATATATATATATATATATATATATATATATACAGAAGTAATGGATTTTATATTTATCCAACATATTTTATTATCCGACATATGGCATCTTTATCACTTTAAATGTTATATTTTATTTAATAGATACACATCCCACCGGCAGGGTCATTTTTTTTTTAAATAAGATTTCTCGAATATTCAAGTGGAAAACGAAAATATATTGTTTAAAAAATAAACAGAACGTCTACTCAAATATGTGTATCTACTAAAACAACTTTTGATATATATATATATATTATGAAAAGGACAAAGTCCGACGATTTTAAGGGATTTTTTCATGTTTATACGTTCCTTTTATAGTTAAATATTTGTATCTATAAAAAGAAACATAAAAAAAAATCTATGTATCTATCTATCTATATATTATTATATATATATATATATATATATATATATATATATATATATATATATATATGTAAAAGTGTATATAAATATAAATAAATATATATATGTATAATTATTTATATATTGTATGCGCAGTACTTATTAGAAAGAGTTTGTCTGACGATCGCTAAAGCGTGAAACCCAGGGTCACAAACTCACATCTAGCCAACCAAATATATATATATATATATATATATATATATATATATATATATATTTAATATACATATATTGCTAATATTTTTTATTTAAAAATATTTTACATCGCGCTACGGAAATTCCTGTTTCGGAAAATACCGTTTTGTTTTCAAAAGTAAATCATTTTTATCAAAAGTTACCGAACATCGCTTGATACTGGAACAAATTTAAAGTTTCGAAACATAGACATTTCCGTATCGCGGTGTGAAATATTTTTTTAAATAAAAAAATATTATTAAAATATTATGTTCTACGTTGTATTGAGCACTTATTTAAAAAAAAAAAAAAAGAAAAGTAAACGCAAATGAACTGTGGATTCCCAATCTGACTGTTCCTTTATTTGTATATATATATATATATATATATATATATATATATATATATATATATATATATATATATATATATATATATATGCTGTTGAAAACTGAGCAAACTGGAGAAATACCTGCCACCGAGGTATAACGAACTTTAAAGAGAGAATCATCTGAGAGAATTAAGAATTAACACTAAATCTCGGGCTAATCTATCAGCCCATATGACGGTGAACCCTTCAGTATGCCCTTCGTGTGGATTTGTTTGCAAATCCTGTGGAGGATTGTTGTCTCATACGAAACAAAAACTGAACTGAAAGACACTTATACGTTGAAAACGACGGTAGATTGCATCACATATATATATATATATATATATATATATATATATATATATATATATATATATATATATATATGTGTGTGTGTGTGTGATAAATAGAACAAAATCACTCACCGAGCTAGCCTGAATGAAGGGAATGCCAACCAAAATTAAAAAAGGGAAAAAAAACTATCATATAAATGTAAGTTCTTATTTTTTTTTATCTTCTTTTCTCTTTTTCTTTTCTTTTTAACGTTATTTTTCTTTCTTTCTTTCTTTTTCTAATTCCTGACAAATTATATAAAACCTAAAACGCACTGATGAATGTTTCTAAAAAATGACGAACGGACTCGGCGCCTTCGTCTGACGAGATTATGAAAGCGTTGTTAACGCACAATGAGGCCTATTTATTTTCTGGCAGTATTTTTGACAAAGAGAAATTATCTCATATTACAATCGAATCTGCAAGCACAAAGACACACTCACACACACACACACACACACACACACACACACACACACACACACACACACACACATTTATTTATATACATAGTCACAAGACAATATTCCTACCCCAATTTCTCAGTATTTGCATCTGTTGGCATCTATCTATCTATCTATCTATCTATCTATCTATCTATCTATCTATCCAGCCAGCGCAATCCTTCCATATCTATCTATCTATCTATCTATCTATCTATCTATCTATCTATCTATCTATCTATCTATCTATCTATCTATCCAGCGCAATCCTTCCATATCTATCTATCTATCTATCTCAGTTTATTTTTTGAATATCAAAATTGAAAAATACTATTTGACGTGTTTCAACCTCTAGAAGGACTTCTTCAGATTTCGTTAATCATCGCTCTAAAGCGAGCGAATTTGATATTTACTAAGGCATGAGCCAGTGCAATGTATCCTTGTGCATTTCAACGTAATGTAATGGTTAGCAAGCTTGTTTTTCTAGATTAGTTACGACTGAAAAGTGAGTTCGATCCTCATTGGGTGACATATACATATGCCACATCTTAGATTCACTTAAAAACATCTCCATTGCAGCAGGATATCTATTAAGGCCCGTTAACACTAGATTTGTAAGACGACCATTTTGGTTATCGTTTTACTGTAAGTGCCTAATTCAAGGTTAACTTTCTATGGAAGAAAGACCGTAATAAGGATCGAACTGGGGCAAACTGAATTCGTCCTCACTAGTAAAATCAGAAGTGGCAGATCGTTGGTGATTCCTTTCTGCAAAAACGCCCGATTTAGCTAAAATAAGACGGAGAAATGTACTCAATGTGGACAACAAGAACTAATTTGAATAATAAATAAAGCAGAAATATCTGGATTAAAAAAAAATATTCTTGGAGGTGGGCAGGGCTAGATGTGGATAAAGATAGGCCCGAAGCTATTGCACTTGCGAGGCCCCTTCAAATCACCCATGCTATATAAACTCATGCATTAAGATCTTCAGTAATGGTACCAACATGCATATTCTGGCTTCCGTCTTCAAAGTCCATTCAAGAACCATCAAGAGAACGGTGAATAAGTTTAAAAAGAGGGATCAGTAGAGAGGAAAACTGGATCAGGAGGTCACAACAGGAAGAGGGATCATCATTTCAACTTAGAACAAAAGAGATCAATTGAAAAGATCCAACTCAATCCATAAGACGTTTGGCACGTGAGAAGAGTTTCAGCTATGACAGTCCAAAGAACAGTGAAAAAAGACTTGAAAATGAAATCGTATGTGAATTCTCTGAGACACTTTGTTAATCCAGGATAGAAGGTTAGAGGCGAAGTTCAGCTTGAATAAGTTGGAAAATGATCTTGGAATATATATATATATATATATATATATATATATATATATATATATATATATATATATATTGCTGTTACACAGTTATGAGAAAAATATATACACAATTTTATATACCAGAAACTAACAAACATATATATAATTTATTTATTCATGAAAAGTAACCAAACACATATTTAAAAAAATCTTAAATTTAAAATGTCAGCATCCTTCTTCTACATATGTATGGGTACTTACATCACGAAACGGCCGTCCAGTGCCTTCTGTTGATATTTCTTGTAGACTCGATGAATTACTTAATATATATATATATATATATATATATATATATATATATATATATATATATATATATATATATATATATATATATATATATATATATATATATATATATATATATATATATATATATATATATATATATATATATATGGATGACAGTATGTAACAATTTTAGGGAAAAGAAGCATGGCAAATTGGAAAAAGTAAATGAAATTTACATACGCTCTATCCCCCATATTAAAAATTCTTACAAAATACATACAGGAAATGTTCAGTAATATACAAGGTACGATGGATAAATTGTCGACATTTTATATTTTTAATTTCGCGCATGCGCGTTGTTTGCTTTTGATTTTGTCGACGGCACAGTATAGTTGGGTCAATTTGACACCGTCTATGAGAAAAAAATGACGCAATCCATTCTGCCAGAAATTTAGAAATGGTTGGTATTCGTTCTGGAAACTCCAATACGAACATTTCAAGGATTCAGAAAGTGTTGAAAGAGGTGATTGCGAAGATATGGCAGCTCGGAAAACTCACTCTCATCGTCCTGATAAGAAAAGAACTCTCGAATTTGTTGGTGATGGCCTCAGACTCAACATGGGGGACAACATTAAGTGCCTTGACGAGGTAGTGCTGCTCTGGGTCAAGAGAGTGGCTACTGGAAAAAGCCTATGTCTGGCAACAAGACTCTGCACCATGCCAAACAAGCAAGAGCACCCAGTCATGACTGTCAAACAATTTCTGCGACCACATCACCCCTAACATCTGGCTACTTAACTCCCCAGACTGCAACCCCCCCTTGATTATTATGTGTGGGGCGCAGTTGAGCGAGAAACCAACAAAACTCCTTGTGACACCAAAGATGAACTGAAGGCAAGGATTATGGCAGCATTCACCAACTTAAACAAGGAGACCGTCCAGAAGAGTTGCAGGAGTTTCCGAAGTCGTCTAGAGACCGGCGTTGAAGCCAATGACATTTTTATTTATGTTATTTTAATTTGAATAAATTTACTCTTTGGTATTTCAAGATATTTTTGTGTAATTTTGGCATATATATATATATATATATATATATATATATATATATATATATATCTGTTAAAATGAGATGTCAGTGATATTTTCATTTTTGCGTAATTTACTCTATGTACATATATATATATATATATTTTAATTTTCGACATAATTTTTATTGAACAATGAATTCACTGTTTTATCTCATTCTCTTTTGCTGTCTTTCAGGCAACATCTTTATTCCGTCCTCTCATCCTACGATTTTTCTCAGCTCAATTTTTATCCATTCCGGTTTCATGGTATACGCTGAAAGCATTCCACAAAATGGAAACTACAGGAATTTCTTCACAAGGATGGGAAACCGAAAAGAAAAGAAGAAAGGAAAACATCCCACGACGCAAGTTGCGAATTCGTGCTTCGATATTAACAGAAGACGGAAAATGTGACACTGCAATCGGAAGTCACATTGGAATAGCAAAGACACCTTCCAAAATCTAAGCAAAGTATTAAGAAACAGAAAAAGTTTGGTTGTTAAATTCAAGGAAAAACATCTACGCCATACAAATTTTATTTTGAAACGATATTTACATTGTAAAACATATTATAACATATATATATAATATGGAGAAAATGTAATTAAATTATTATTTTTTTCTTTTATTTATATTTTAGCGACAAAGAGAATGTGCAGGGAGTGACAAGACTTTCGGACCACTCTGTATATCAGCTAAAATGTCTTAAAGGTACAAATTTTAATTTGGAATGATATCTACATAGTAAAACATATTATAACATATTTACAACATAGAGAAAATGTAATTAAAATATATTTTTTTCTTTTATTTATATTCTAGCCAGAAAATATTTTGAGATTTTTTTTAAACAATAATGATTTAGTGATAACGTCTTGTCGCTGGGAAGAGTAGCCCCTTATGTAGACATCATTCCAAATTAAAATTTGTACGGTGTAGACATTTTAGCCGATATACATGCTGTTTATCGCTAGAATATAAATAAAACAAATTTTTAAATATTTACATTTTCTTCAGGTTATATATATATTTACATTATTCGGACTATTGACTATAGACATATACTGAAAGGCTGAAACGATGTAATAAATTTGGCGACAAAGATGAGGACAATAGTCCGAATAATGTAAATAGTGTACATAATACCTCATCTCAGAAATATAGACAGATACTGATAGGCCGAAACGATGTAATAAATATGGCGACAATCATGAAGACAATAGTCCGAATAATGTAAATAATGTACATAATACCTCATCTCAAAAATATAGACAGATACTGAAAGGCCGAAACGATGTAATAAATATGGCGACAAAGATGAGGACAATAGTCCGAATAATGTAAATAATGCAGATGCTATAAGCTTGGATGTACGGATGATGTAATGTATAAAGACTCAGACTTGTTAATGGGAGAGCCGAGAGTTCTACTTTGGTTTGTTATCTATGAGGAAAAAATATTTACACCGCACAGATTTTATTTTGGAATTATATCTACATATTAAAACATATTATAACATATATATATAACCTGAAGAAAATGTAAATATTTAAAAATTTGTTTTATTTATATTCTAGCGATAAACAGCATGTATATCGGCTAAAATGTCTACACCGTACAAATTTTAATTTGGAATGATGTCTACATAAGGGGCTACTCTTCCCAGCGACAAGACGTTATCACTAAATCATTATTGTTTAAAAAAAATCTCAAAATATTTTCTGGCTTTAAATAACCTGCAAAGGGTTGATAAGCCGAAAAAAACGAATCAATCAATGAAATATGATCGATCCTGTTGCAATTTAAAAAAAAAAATAGCTGTGTTCCAAAATTACTGTGAGAGCTTCGCTGATTTCTTACAAAGAATATATATTCTATTCATACGAACCTATCCTAAAAATCTTGTCGGCATTAAATAACCCATCGAGGTGTTGATATGCCGTAAAACAAAATAAACCAAACTGATTTCTTACAAAAAATACATAGTCTATTCATGCAAACCTATCCTAAAAATCTTGTCGGCATTAAATAACCCATTGAAGTGTTGATATGCGGTAAAACGAACCAAATAATCCCAACCAAAAACAAAAATTATTACAATTAAAAATATGTTCTGGCTTTAAATAACCTGCAAAGGGTTGATAAGTCGTAAAAAATGAATCAGTCAATCAAATATGATCAATCCCGTTGGAAATTAAAAAGAAAATGGCTGTTCCGAAATTATCGACAGTTTCACTATGGGACAACCTTTGATGATGTATATAAAAACAGAGGAAGAGTTGTTCTGCAACGATAAGTAATTTTTGTTAAATGTTCTTTTTATATCATTGGTTAATAATTTAAGTGTACTACTAGATTAGATTAGCAATCGTTTTACTGTTGAAATAACTTGATGTAACCGGATATTCTTTTGTTGCCTGTGGAACTCTTCCGTTTTCTTGTTTCCCTGTCGACTACAATCTCTCGAAAATTTAAAAAGGCAACGTCAGTCGCCATCTTCTGTCTCCTTGTTTTTTTTTTCTTTTATCTTCCCTCCTCACTAAAATCTTCTCATTCTTTTCTATTACCAGTAATGGACCTCCTGCGTCTTAGTGGCATTATCAATTTGTTTGGGGTGAAACGATTAAAAAAAATATCT